GCCTCTTTGTCCTCCTCGGGCTCTCGCGCCTTGACACAAGGTAGTGTTCAGGAGGGTCTCAAACTCAGCCATAAGGCTGTCTATCGCATTCCTTTTGTTGCGGTCCAGAACCGGGGAAAGAAGGGCGGACGAGGATGGGGACGCTGAACAGCTCCTAGAACTCGCGCTTTCAGTTTCGGTTGATGTTGTTTGTGCTTCGCTAGAGTATCCCACGTTGCTGCGATTTCTCTTGGGGCTGTGGTCCCTGATCGGTAGCTGGGCAGATGCTTTAGACTCGAGTGATAATTTCGAGGCCAGCTTGGCGAGAGAATCGACAGGTTGCCCTCCAGATTTCAGCGCTTCCGGGACTTGGGCGCCCAAATCTGAGTACCCAATCTTTGGCGCTGCTGGTCCCTTAACACCGCTGTAATAGGGGCTTGGCTGGTCCAGGAAGCCGCCGCCGCCGCCAGGGGGGTTTTGGTGTCGCCAGTTGACCATTTGCATCGTGTCGAAGCCTCCCCAGGGCAGACCGCTCAGTTCGTCCTCCCGGTAAAAAGCCTCGCCTCCTATGCGATACGAACCCGGGGCAAATGTCTCGTTCGCTGCATCTCGTTGGGCTCGTTCCATCTGCTCGCGAGTCTTCATTCGAAACTTGCGCTGCGCGATGCGGTTCTGAATGCGCCTTCTCTCCTCGGCATCGCTAACCTCGGCCCAATCATCCGATTTGCTGCTGGAGCGGCCATCTGCTTTACTCTTGGAGACAGACTTCCCTTTGCTCTTGCTGGCGGACGAGCTGCTGGTTGTGAAGCCATGGCCACCCCCGACCCCGCTTCGATAGCCTCCTGACGGGCTCCTGGAGTCTGGCTCGGCCATGGATGATGTTGAGTGACGGGCTTGGTAATTTCGTCAAGATCAATCAATAAACAAAGTCATCGGATCCGCAGCTGCACCTGCTCTATGCCTGGGTTGATGGAGAGGAAGCAAGCTTGAAGTAGGAGTGGTTGAAAGGCGCCGCTATTTCAGTACGGGACGGGAGCCTTGGATTTGGCGCAATGTAACCCGCTCATTCGTCGACTGCGCATTTGCGCAAACCACGAAATGCGATGCAGGGCTGTTGGTGCGAGGTTCCATTGGACCAAGGTGCTCCTTCCTCGTGCTCAGGCTCTGGAGCTCGACCAACATTACTGTCTGGGATTCATCACCGGGAAAAGCGGAGTTGCCGGTGGAAAAGAAGCTCAATAATAAGGCTGAATATCACACGTTGAAACTTTTGAAGTTCTGATGGTGCAGGGACGAAGGCCCTCAAAGGGACAACATCGGGCGTCCTCAATGAGCCCTAACCCTGAAAAAGCTCTCTTCATCCAGCGATCGGATAAGATACACTACTACCAAACAGCTATCTCTCTTTCGGAGTTTAGATATATTCCACCCTGGGTCTACAAAGTGTGATCTGTTGTGAGACTCGTCACATGACAAGACCAAGGCGTCGACGTCATCCCGTCTCAGGGCTAGCGTCCGAGGCGGGGGGATCAATCAACCTAGACAGTTGGGGGCCCACTTTCCAAGACTTCAATCAAACTTGACGCTGGGAACGTGATTGAGAAGTCCCCTCGCAGACTCGACCCTGGCGCTCGCCTCATCAAACTCTTGCTGCTATCAATCAATCCAGCACTGAAAATGACTTTGCGCGCTGTTTTTGTCGGCGGGACGAACGGCATCGGCTATGCCATGGCCTGCCGCATCGCCGCGTCGAGTCCCGCGTCGTCGTCAATCATCGTCAGTGGTCGCACCAAACCCGCCAACCTCCCGCATTCCAACATGGAGTTCCGACAACTCGACGCATCCTCGATGCGCGGCATCAAGAAGTACACAGACGACCTCAAGGTTTCTGGCGACAAGCTTGACCTCCTCGTCATGTCCCAGGGCATCATGACGATGCAGGGCCGCACCGAAACCCCCGAGGGCATCGATCAGAAGATGTCGCTGCACTTTTACGGCAAACAACTGCTCATTCGCGAGCTTCTCCCCGTCTTATCAGATGCCGCCCGCGTCATCATCGTTCTCGATGGCTGGCTTGGCGACCCTTCCAAGCTCATTTGGGACGATCTCGACCTCAAGAAGAACTACAGCATCAAGAAGGCCGCAGAGCACTGCATTTCAATGAACGACGGTATGATCCAATACTGGGCCAAGACCCAGCCGGAAGTCCCCGCTGCCGCCAAGAAGCACTTCATTCACGTCTTCCCTGGCACTGTCAACACAAATCTCTTCAAGGGCATCGTTCCCTCGTATCTGCAGGGCCCAGTAGGCTTGCTGTCGAGGATGACACTTACGTCGCCTGAGACGTGCGCGGAGCGGCTGCTGGATGGAGTTGAAGAGCGTGTCAAGGAGGGCACGGAGGCCGGCAAATTCTGGAGCAACATCGATGCGAAGGGCAAGTCTGTTAAGAATAAGGCCATCTGGAACGAAGAGCAGATCGAAAAGGTTTCCAACCATACATGGAAGATCGTCGACGATGCTCTGGCCGTGAAGGATTAGGCTGGACAGCTACGATATTCATGAATCAAGAGGCTGTTCACTTGGTCTAGTTCAGACTTGTGTCGTTCATGTCTCATACTCGGGGGGAGAGTACACGCGTGACAGGATTTAACTTGGCGGCCGAGCATTAGCTGGCTATCTCGAATTTCGCAACAGTGGCATTTTCAGCAAAGGTTCGGGTTACACTGCATCACACACCGAGTCGGCACACTGATCCCTTATTAAGTTCGGCCGCTGCGCCCCGACACAATGAGATAGGGAGGTGGGATGACGAGTTTAGCCAGATGTACCAGTCTTGGAAGAAGCTTCACATTTCGACGCCCGACCGAAAGATTACCCCAGACTTCCGCCGTTCTCAGGAATACCTGCTGCCGCCCACAAATGTTCATATAAAGACAGTACATTCCGCGACTCAAATGATGGGCAGCCGTCAAGGAGCTCAGGCTTAGTGCACCGAAATTTTGTACCTAGGTGCCTTCCTACCCTCATACTGACATATATGGCCTGGGAAGTGGACCCGGCCGAGGTAAGGCCCTTACTCCCAGGCTCTGACTGGATCAATGTCGGACGTTATTTCGCTCCCAAAAACGCAGAGGATGTATTCTCCGGCATCATATCCCGAATCCGAGCAGTCAAACACAGGGTAACTGTGACAGCAGACGCCCGAAATAGCTCATATATTTACCCCGGGTGGTCAAGTCTCAGCGAAAATGGATGCAATACGCGACACGGGACGCGAAACTGCACACTCGCCTGCACAGACACGCAATCGATGTTCGAATCTCTTGACACAATCACGAACTGTATTGCCGTCTCAGCAGCGACGCTATCGCTGAACTGGACATCTCCAACGAGCTTCATGGACGACGAATTGAATACATTGACTAGCTTCGGGGTTTCTAATCTTGGCAATTTTGACGCCTTTCATGTTCTGAGCACGCTGGCTGAATGTGCAAATGCATCTTGTCAAGATACGGGTTACAAGCGTTGCTCTCCTGGCATTCAGACCCTGAGCGGAGACATCGCGGCCGCAAGCCCAGCTTGGTCAGCCCTTGAGCTCATTCTTCAGGAAATGGGGAGCTACTGTAACAATACCTTGCTGCCCTTTGTCAGCGTCGCGGACGATGTTGTCGGCCCTGGGGTAAGTTCGCAAACATCCAATCCTGTCTCGGCCCAGCATGAATGATACTCAAAAGTCAGATGGTTCTAACTGGGAGCCCGCAACAACAGGTCCTAATATCCCACCTCGTCCAGATCGTCCTAGTCATCACGTTCTTTCTACTCATCCAGCTCTTCAACACCTGGCCTCAATGTCTTGCCTTCCTCGTCAAATACACCAATCCCAAGAACTCGGCCGGGAACCCCTTCTCACGCTTCCAGTCCCGCCTCTACCGCTCATTCTCCAACTCGGCCATACTCGCAACAGCCGTCGAGCTTCAAGAAGCCCAAGCCTATCTCACCATCGCCATCCAAATCGCCACCATCATCACGCTCCGCCCCCTCTGCGACCCGGACTGCACCATCTTCAACTCCATCGCCTCCATCAGCGAAGGCATGATGAGCGCCAGCCTCCTCCGCAGCGTCGCCGTCACCAGCATCCTGCCCGTCCTGCTGCTGCAATGCTCACTACAGCTCTCTCAAATGCGCTGGCTTTACCCCCTCCTGCTCACCATCGCGGTGTGCATCCCCGCTGCTGTCGTCCACTCGCAGAGCAGTCTCCCGCCTCTCAGTGTAATGCAGGCGGGACTTAAACACACCGAGCCTGTTCCGCAGTGCGGAAACCACATGTCGCTTATGGCATATTGCCTCGAGGCGATGCCATATGTGAAAATCCCTGTCATTCTGGGAGTTTTGCCTCTGGCGTTCACGACGGTGGGAATCCTCGTGGTGGATCAGATGCTGCATACCTTATCTCTCGGCCCGGCGCTGTCGAGGTTTCAGCCGCTTGCAAAGGGGGTGGTGCATGTCTTGTTGGTCATGCTTGAGGCGGGATTGCTAGCCGGGATAGCGCTGCATTTGGGGAATATACTGGGGTTGTTGAACAATAAGTCGGTGGTGGCGGGGGAGTTTACGTATGGGCAGTATCTGGCGTCGATGGTGTGGGTTCCAGTGGTGGGGAAGTTTGTTTATTATAATCTATGTGAGTTGCTGCTTCTCTGAGCTGTTATAGGGACTAGGGTTTGGGGGAAACATATGCTGACTTGAGATGCAGTTGGGGTCGTCGGAGGGTTTCAAGGGAGGCTTTCGAGGAGGTACTTGGTTGTCGAGAGGGAGAGGGAGATGGGGATCGGAGTGAGTTAACTTGGATATTGGGCGGGCCTGGGTTTGGAGAGAAGACCAATAGGGCTGCGCCGTCGACCATAACCGCGAGGTGGCTCTTACGGGAGGTATCTGCCAGGGACAAAAAGCGAGAAAACGGATAACGACGGGATGGGCGCCGTTATGGCTTATGGTGCGCGCCGATAAGAGGCAAAAGAGGAGCTTGGGCGGTCTGGGATTCAAACCCAGGCCTCTCGCTGAACGCTGTATACACACTTTAAACTAACACTGATAACGCCCAGGAGCGCGCTGTCCACTGCGCTACCTGCCCTGTGGATGTTGTTGGTTACATGTAGGTTGTCGTTATCTTGGTTCATTTGGGCTTGAACCTTATGTCTGGCTCCCGAGGTCCATCTCCAAACTCCAAGTCCCCAACTGCAGCTCCATCCCGAGGTCCTTATACCTCTTTCCCACACTTCCAATTCAACAATCACATCGGGTATGGTGTAGTGGCTAACATCGCTGACTCTCAAACTTTGAGTCCTCAGCAGCCCGGGGTTCGATACCCCGTTCCCGAGATTCCAGGCACTGCCAAAACAACTACAGCAAGTGGATACACTTGTTTATCTTCCGTAGTATAGTGGTCAGTATGTGAGCTTGTCAATCCCACATTGGGAATACCTTCGCTCGAGACCCGGGTTCAATTCCCGGCGGGAGAGATACTAGAGAGGAGTGCCTGGGTAGAAATTCTTTTTGGCTGCCTCCAGCTGGAGAAGGGACGGACAGACCGGCGAGTTTTCTTTTTGCACGGAGTAGCTAGCTAGCCGAATTCCCACACCCTTTGCAAGTCGGGGAGTTGCTGACCGCAGAATGGAGAAAAGATCCCACCGAGAAACACCTTTCTCGTAACACAGCGCAAGGATAAACAATTTCATCTATCTGGCGCATCTCAGTCGCACAAGAAACAGGTACCTGTACCCCGGAGAGACAACATCGGGTTCAGGGGTCCAATCCTGATCAACAGTCCCAGATTTCAGGGACCTCTTGGCAGATCTACAAAACTGGTGATACCGGCAATTCTAAGCGACTCGCACCAATGACGCTGCGGCGCGGAGCAACCGGCCCCGCTGCAACGGAAACACGGCAGCTCAGGCACACGGAAGCGGTTGCTGATCTGCCTCCTCCCGTCCGGCTTCGAGCGGGGTGTCCGTCTGGGAAGAGAATTCTACACGGCGGTCGGAACACTCGGCGCTCCAAGTGAAGGTGCTGACTCGGCAGCTCGGAACGGTTGGCTTGCACTACAAACAGCGGTCTGACTGGCACGACTGCTAGCGGTGAGCTCGAGGGACGGAGCGGCAGACCGACCAGAGTAGCGTGGTGAACGTGGTCCAGAAAGACCGGTCCAGTCGTGGTCGTGCGTTTGCCACTCGCGCAAACTTAACCCCACAGACCAATCGATCGGGCCAAGAGTCTGGGGAAAGCTGGGGGAAAGCACGGGAGCCTGGACCTTTGTGGAGCCGTTGAGGTGGCCGTTGCTCTCCCTGTTGAGGCCGTAACGCCGCCTGGCGCTAACCAGATCCAACCACCATCGTGGGTCCCGGCGCAGGGAGAAGCGCTATCGAGATTGTTGGGACTGGACAGCGTCGTTGCGTTGTTCAGAAAGCCGCAAAAAGCCGCATGAAACTGCGTGAAAAAGTTCCAGATTTTGTGGCTCCCGTTTGAGAAATAGGTCGTCTGACCAGATTTCGTCCACTGGGAGGCCACGCGATTTGCATCGGCATTGTCCAATCGCGGGCGTGGGATGGTGCTGTTTGGGCGAATGCCCATCAATGCAACCCAGAAATGCCGCTGGCAAAAAAAACCCTGAGGACCGCCGCGGTCGCACTAGCCGGGCCTCGCCCTGTCTGCCTGTGCCGAAGGGGGGCACAACATCGCCCAAAGTGGCGGTCTGAGTTGGGCGAGAGGGTGGGCTGCTGAGATCCCTCGCAAGTGGTGAGGTTTGTTGCGAATGCCCACTCCCGTCCACTGCAGCGCGTTTCGGGGCGGCATGTGCTGTATGTGCCTCTGCCCGCATGCCGTAGTCTCCGTGTCCAATGGGGTAGCAGGCGAAGGACCGCGAAGGAAGACTGCCCGCATCATCACGAGAGGATCTCATGCTGCAGGTGCGTGTCTTGACGGGTTTCGCTGCTGGCTGCCAGATCGGATGACATGGGTGAATGAGACTCTAAATTGCGGCTGAGGAGGAGAATACGTTCAGAGACATCGCGAGAGGAAATGTGAGGCTTTGCGAGGCGCGTTGTCATCTGTCGCATCGGGTGCCAGTTCTCCTGATACCCGCTGCGCCTTTGGGTGCTGGGCGGACCGAGGTGGGTGTGGAAATGGACGAGGGGCAGTCGTGGTGGGGGTGCACAATCAGGGCAGCCCGGTTGGCCTTCCGAGCCCCCGCGGGGTGAGCAGCGCAATCCGCGCCCTCACCGGGCGAGCCCTGCGGGAGGATGGGGGTGTGGAGGTACCGAAAATCACAGCCCCTCGAACAAGACCGAGCTGACTCTGACACAAGAGACGGATTTGGTTCGTGTTCCGAAAAGAAGCTGTGTTTCTCGAAATTTGCCCAAGGCGCGTTATCTCGGTCGGCGGCGACCATGTGGCTCTGCCGGAAATGCTGAGTGGGTGCAAGCGGTACTTGTAAGGCGCCGTCTCCCGACTAACCCACGATAGTTTGCTATTCTCAGTTCAGCTCCGATCCAATTTCTCGTGTCGGCCGTCGGAGAGCGGGTAGTGGATCTCGCCTCGGCTGTCGTGTCGTGCCCATCAGGTTAGTAGGGGGCGACCTGAGCAGATGCACACCGTCCATCTGCTGGCCGAAACAAAATTCGAATTGCGAGCTCGACTTGCTGAGTGTTGGGAATTGTGTGTTTTCATCTCGTAAAGTTGCGTGTGGGCGGGATACAACGTCAGCGCCCGGCCCTCGGTCGTCACTTGATCAGAAAAAATGGCCCCGGCTCACCTGCCTTGGACCTGTGGCCCAAAAGCTTGCCCGCTCCCACAGTCCCACCCTGGCATGTATGCGCCTGGACTCTGGGTTTTGATTGGCGGGCACAGTGAGGCTCATCAACCCAGAGGGTGCGAGTGCCAGAGGGTCAGCAGCTTGATTGACGAACAAGCCGCCCACCACGAAACGATCATCGAGGACCCTGAGAGGGGGAAAATCGAGGGGTCCCGGCTGATCTTCGATGGCGTGCATCTCAATTCGGACCTAAAGGATTGATGGGCGCTCGACAAGAAGAGGACCCTTTGGCCGTTTTCCGCAATGATGTCAAAACACTGAGAACAGGATTGATTATCTCCCAAATTGCCGGGTTCGGCGGTGGGTTCTGCAGCTCCAGCTGGTTGTTGCGGAACCAACATGGGCAGACGCGAGAAGGTGCCGTCGGAGCCCCGCAGATGAGGCGCCCTGCATGGCCGTCGGCGGCTGCAACCAGACGGGAAATCGTTGAGGAGGCTTGGTTGAAGTCTTACCCCAGTGCCGGACTCTTTGTTGCACCGTGGGATCCCCTGACATCACCCCTTTCTTTGTTCCAGTCCACCCCTAAAAAATGCAGAAGATCGGTCACGCGGTATCGGCGCACCACGCGGTCCTAGTATTCGCACTGCTTATGTACTTGGATTTGACCCACATTCACCCCACTCGGTGAATTGACCGCCCACTTCCTGCCACAGCGGGTCGCTGTACCTCACGCTGGTGCTAGCGGTAGCTCGATGTTGCAATACCTACCACCAGTTGCCCTGGTTCCTGTGACCGCCTCCTCTGCCCTTTTGCCATCCCACTCTCGCTCTCTTCTTCCGCTGTTTGGCTGTTCTCCCGCCCGAAAAGTTGCGATCTGCTGGTACGAGCAGCAGCAGCTCTCCAACTTTTGCAATCGGGCATTCGGACATTCCAGAACAGTCATCCGTCTTGCCACCCTCGGCAGGGCATTCCACTGAGCCACGCTCGCAGTCGGGTTCGGAAGCCGCGGCGCTCTTGTCTCGTGCCGGCCCATCTATAACCTACGAGGCCCTCTCCTCGGTACTCGGGGTCTCCTGTAATTTCTTTCCAACCCAAATGACTTTGCAAACCACTTATAATCATGACAGCCCAAGTCGCCATCGCTGCCTTCGACCCGCTGGTCGACCGCAAGCACCACTTCCACCCACCCTTCTCGCTGCCCCGGCCAGTAATGGCCAGCACCCGAGAGCGCCCGCGATTGCGGTTTGCCCCGATCCCCATCGAGACCACCTTTGAGAAGTACCGAACAAACGCACCGCCCGGCGAGCTCACGCCCAGTCCATCCCCACGCTCACCCTCTCCACCACAACGGGGGAAGAGGAGGTTCGCTCCGCAGCTGGTCGAGTCTTCCGTCCGGAGGTCGAGGCGAGCCGGAGACGAAGGGCCAGCGACGAGGCCGACCGACAAGACCGACATCACACCCTACACAAACCACATCTACGCTCCTAGACCGCGCAAGAAGCACAGCCATGCTGCGGTACCAACAACGCCGTCGAGACCGGGGGGGCATGGGCGGAGGGAATCGTGTGACGATGAGATTGCGGGAGGGTTCTTCAACCTGGTGGCCCGCGATGCTCAGCAAAAGATGCAGGAGGTGGCCATGAGTGCGTTTCCGAACAGCGGGCAGCGGATAGGGGGTGCCGAGCACTTTTATGTGCGTGAGGGGTCCGAGGATGACAGCCTGAGGGGTAGGCCAAAGATCAGAGGTCCCTGGGACCACATGCAGTCTCGGCGGAATTCGTCTGAAGAGGACATCAGCTGGGCATTCAAGGAGATGCAGGAGCATTCACTCCGCGTGGCCGGGAGGAGCAGGAGCCGAGACCGCGTGGACCGCGCAGAGCGCGTGGACACGCTGGATCTGGACAACATGAGTATTGGCAGCCCGCCAAGCGATGCCATGGGTTTAACAACCGCGAGGCAGTCCTTGAGCGGCTCACCGTTGTGGACGTCGAGACCGCCGTCCGCTTCGCTGGGTCCAATTGGCGAGACGCAGATGCCTTTGCTGCGTGCTGAATCACCGCTTCCTGCCATTGGCGAATCCCGTATGCCGTACATCCACCCCGAGTCGCCAGCCATCCGCCCCATTGGCGAAACCTTTATGCCTTATATCCCCTCTGCCCCGCCAGGCAAGTCCGCCAACATGCCGTACGCCCCGGCTTCGCAGATCCCACCCGAGACTTCGTTTGGGCGCTACATCCCTTTGCCGTTTCCTCAGGAGCGAGACATGTCCTTGGAGAGGGCGCGAAACGCCCACCGCTTGCGAGCAAAGGCTTCGCCTCCGATGC